AAATATGGCCATTCTTTTGATATTAATATTGTCCTTTTTGTTGTTTGGGGTGTAACTATAAAATAATGTTCCTATAGGTCCATGTGTTGCTGGTGTTGTTGGTCTAAAAATGCCTCGATATTGTTTGTTTGGTGACACAGTGAACTACGCATCAAGAATGGAATCAAGTGGCGTGTGTAAGTTTACCTAATTATTTTCCCCTTTGTGGCACAGAGCACAAGTCCAATTCGAGCAAGCTTAAAATATCAAAACAATTTTTTTTTTCAGCCAATCGTATTCATGTTAGTAGTGAATGTAAAAACGCTCTAGACAATATTGGTGGATGGATGTTTGAAGAACGCGGTGAAATTGAGCTAAAGGTGAGGTTTTAATAATATTAAGGGGTACACGACCTTAAAATTTACACATCTATGTTTTCCTAATAATAATAAGCCTAGCTTACCTGTTTCTTTCTTTTATAAAGTTTCCTTTTGCCACCAAAATATAGCCAAAACGCGGATAAATCCAAAAAACTACCAACACCCAGCCGCCATCTTGAATTCCTAGAAAAGAACACAGGAAGCCCAAAATATAGAAATCGACAATTGTACTGACTTTGCTCCGTTTTGTGTTTTCTTCAGGGAAAAGGAACTGTAGTGACATATTTTCTAACCGGAAAAAGTGGACTCAAAGACCTGTAACCAGTTGCTTAAGAAAGACTGAAATATATCGCACTTTGCTGTAACTAAAAGAGCTGACATTCGATAAAAGTAGTTTTATAATAAAATACAATTGTATCATAGGTTAGCGTAGTACGCATGAGTTTTTTTTAAACAAATATGTTATGAACGTTTTAGTACAAATTGCCAACTTAATCTGATACTGAGCCACACTTGCTCATACTTTACTGTCTTTACTTCCAACCTATATCATTCTATCGGTATTACTTCTGTGCATACAATATTTTTGCATATATTTCATCGTATAAAGTTGTAAATAAAAAAAGAAACTGACGAATATTTATATTATTGTTGTAGTTACTGTTGCTATCGTTATTATTATTATATTTTGGGTCATTCAAGACCATTTATACACAGCGATGAGAGTATTTTTTTCTCGGTTATCAGAATAAAGATAAATTTTAATGATAATTATGATGATGACGACGATAATTATTATTTACCTTTTTTGAGTACACCTATATGTTTTGTCATCATCTCTTCATAGCCATTTCCTAGTTGGATGTCCGTCTGCTCCTCAATCCATGATCCACGGTCAATTTTCCTAGGCAGTAGATAAATGCAACTTTATAGCTTGATTCTCATCAGTGTCTCATCGGCTCGCTGGTTTAGGAAACCGGTTTTGACCTGATTGGATGCTTGCGAGGATAGTAATACATTATTCACCCGTCTCGGCGATAAACGAGTTGTCTTAATCTTCTCTCGTTTTTCCAATGGAACAGCGAAACAAGGTTTGTAATTTTAGGCAAGAACTTTGCAATGCATAGACTGTTGCGGTAATTAATTAACAACAAAAGCCAAAATTCATCCAAACATCTCTTGTATGCCATCCAACGCCGTTGAAATTTATAACAGTTTAAATGTTATAAATAATGTTTGAAAAGAAAAGGATCCAGATGAATGCAAATAAAAATAGAAAGAGCTGATCTTTTGAAAATGGTCGTTTCTTCTTACGATACAATGATGTGGCTTTCACAAGTTCCACAATGACGTGACATAGCATATGGGATCAGCGTTTTTTGTCACGCTGTCACGACGGGAAAGCGTGACACAAATAACTTCTAGACGTGGACAAATTCGTGCGCAATTACTATTACCATTTTTCGAGACCGTTTTCCTGGCGTATGATATTAGAATATGTTCATCACTTAATAGCCACGCGGAATTCTTGAGCGTCTCGACGCTGGTGAAGTAGTAGTYGGTGATGGCGGGTTTGTGTTTGCTTTGGAGAAAAGAGGTTAYGTCAAAGCTGGTGTATTCACTCCTGAAGTTGTAGTTGAATTTCCCGAGGCTGGTAAGTACAAAATATCATTCCCCAGTATTTCCCACAATCCTCAGTAGAGAGAAACACACCATAGACACCAGCACGTGATATAACACGTGATCTGTCAATTCCACAGTTCGACAGCTTCACATCGAGTTTCTTCGCGCCGGTGCTGACGTCATGCAGGCATATAATTATTACGCGTCAGAAGACAAGTTAATAAACCGAGGCAACGAAGCAATTAGAATCGGGGTAAGTCGAAATTTTTAGCAAAAAAMSCATCACAAAACATACTTTTGACATCGATTTTTAGTTGAAGGAAATCAACGAATCAGCGTGCACGCTAGCACGTGATGTAGCCAACCAGGGTGATGCACTTGTTGCGGGAGGTCTAACCCAAACTCCCTCGTACATGGATGGACGAGGGAAGGAAGCTGTTCAACGTGAATTTCAAAAACAAGTTGACATTCTTGTGGAAAATGGTGTTGATTTCCTTATTGGTGAGGTAAAACCCAAATTCAAGAGAAATTTAAATACAATGGCCCGAAAATACTGCAATAGAGTCAATTTCGTATGAGTGGAAACGCACGGTAGAAATTACCGCACGGTTACCGCACAGTTACCGGACCTGGTCTGCACAATTTTTGTGAAGCAATGAGACACTAGAATTTGGTTACAGTACGATTACGGTTACAGTACAGTACCGTCCGTTTCCCACTCGTACGAAATTGACTCTAGGATTGGATTACAGTGTACGGATCAGGATGCAAATGGTTAAAGGGCTACTTGGATGAAAAATGGCGAAACACTGAAAAAGGCACGAAATTCTTGTAGACTTATCAATAAGGGCCCTCTATAATAACGGTGCAACATTTTGAGATATTGATACAATTTCTTAGGAATTTTGTCAAAAGATTTTGCAGTATATGATCACGGTTTCTCGTACAGCTAGAGCCTGCCCTTTTGCCGTCCAGGCCATGTCTTGATAATTCAGGATGATGTTGAGATACGAAAGATGTGACTCTGTGATGTTCACGTTATGATCCTCGGCTCGGTTTTACGCGCGGAATGAAGGAGTGTCCAAAACTGATTTTCACAGTTTTTCTATAGACATTTGTTCACGTGGAAGAAGCCGTGTGGGCAACTGAGGTGTGCAAGAAATCCGGTCTTCCAGTGGCAATGTGCATGGGAATGACTGAAAAAGGAGACTTGGATGGTGTACTGCCAGGAGATTGTGCAGTGCGACTTGCAAGAGCAGGTATGAATACAAAAGGCAATGTAAATCGACGCCATTTACCATGCTGGTAAATTAGTCCTCGAGCATTTTGATGTCCGTTTTATTGCACCCAAAAATTTATTTTTTTTGCGTTCTCTTCACAAAAATCCAAATTCTCATGAAATACAATTTCTTTGAAGCATCCGGTTTCATATGAAAATGCAATATTTAAAAGATCTGAGTATGGGATCTTGCCATAAACAGAAGCGGTTCGTCATTTGTACTTGAATCTTTTGACTTTATATAATAGACGCTGACATTATCGGTGTTAACTGCAACGCGGGCCCGTTTCGTCTCATAAATACAATAAGAATGATGAAAGAAGGAATGGAAAAGGCTGGAATCAAGAAACACCTTATGATCCAACCATTGGGGTACTTAACGCCTGATGTTGACAAACCAGGTTTTACTGGTCTTGTAGAGTTTCCATACGGTAGGATAACTTCATTTATTTTTTTTCGGTCCGGTATCCTAGTCATTCGCCCGCTGTGATTGGCTAGCGCGCGGTCCGGTATTTCACCATCTGCCCGGTCCGACGGTATCCTGCAGCTAGGATGTGAGCAAAGTTGCATAAAATACAAATAAAAAAAATAAAAAATGTTATTTACCGGCTATAGGTCGGTCCGTATAGGAAAACACTGCCCTCGGTCTTTTATGTACTGTCAAGACCTCGGGCAGTGTTTTCCTATACGGACCTTCCAGCCGGTAAATAACATATATACACCTAATTGAAAAACGTAGTCGTGTTCGAAAAGGTCACATCATAGAAGCTAAGACCGAAAGGGATTTTGAATTGGGATTACATTTGCATATACGGTGTACACTAAGCAAGTAGAGCTAGTAAGATTAACAGCATGATATTCTTTTATGCTGGAGAGCTGTTTGTTATGAAATTAGGCAAATTGTTTGTCTTCCGAAGTACTCTTTCGGTCTTAGCTTCTATGATTTGACCTTTTTGGACGCGACAACGTTTCTTCAATTAGGTGTATATGTATAAGTCCCATTGCCTCTGTGCAAGTTCGTCACCAAGCTCTTATCCCTTCTTTTTGCACGAGGGCTTGGGGATTTAAKAAAAACAAGAAGCCAGATCTTTCGCCATGTGAGTGAAACAAAATTGACACGACATGATTCAAAAAGTACATGCTTTTTAGCTCTGGAGCCTCGAACACTGACTCGCTTCGACGTCCATAAGTACGCCCGCGAAGCTTACAACCTTGGTGTGCGGTATATTGGTGGCTGYTGTGGATTTGAAGCCTATCRCATCCGGGCAATTTCTCAAGAGGTAACATGATCGTAATGATACCCATTTTCTTGAAATGCCTTGGTTTTCTGTGATCTTTTTCAGCTAAGCAAAGAACGCGGTAAGCWGCCTCTYTCCAGTACCAAAGACGARATGTGGGGGGCRAATCTACGTYAGCATACAAAACCTTGGGTGAGAGCCAGGTAGGAAAAGCTTTTAATATTAATACTTATTCGAATTCTATTCTATATTCCAGTTCTGTTGAGGAATGTTTTTTTTTCGTTTGGTTCATGTTTCTGAGCTTCAGGCAAGGCTTATGCGTTTTGAGTGCGTTTGTTTGCTTCGCGTGCGCAGTAGTGCCATTCGTAACTAGTTATGGAGTTATTTCGTGTAATGATTGTTCTAATGACAATTTCTCTTGTTTAAAGTAGAATTCATTTGCTGATTTTTAATTTTAATTTTTTAAACTCACTGTTTCCMTTATGCATCAGGTCAAGCCGCTCTTACTGGGAGAACCTACATCCGGCCAGCGGCCGACCATATAGTTCTGGATTGTCKGAACCTGCAACTGGATGGAATTTCACCCCAGGTCAAGAAGACATGAAACAATACAACGAAATGACAAWAAATGAAGAACTCGAGAAAAATATGRAAAAAGCAGCAGGGAATATCTAGTTTTAAAATTTATTTCATGAAATGGTAAATCAAAGCAAAATTAGATTCAATGTTCTATGAAATGAGCAGTACTATTTGTTTTRTTTTGTCATTAAATATTTTRTATATTTTATCATTTGAACTGATTTAATTTAACAATATTTGTTGTGCAACCTCTTAGAGGTGAAAAATCAATACCCCACGCCCTTTTTTCAAGACTTCCAGGATCTTTTAGGAGTCTTTTTGAAAATTTCCGACGAGCATCCCCGGTACTTTTAACCTGGAGTTCCCCCACCCGGGAATTATCACTGCAAATAAAGGATTTGTTGAAGATCTGACAATGACATAGTCTCCTCGCAGCCGTTCTTAGTGACGGGCTCCCTGTCCCCCGCCCCACAGGGAGCCCGCCACTAAGAACGGCTGCGAGGAGACTAACAATGACAGTACTGAATAAAGTAATGAAATCAAGGATTTTTGTCAGTCTCTCATTTAATTTCACAGCTGCAAAAACACTTTAAGTAGCTGACAACCACTTTGGAAAACCTCSCGCTAAACTCTAAAGGCAGCCCAAAATTATATTGTCCAGCAAAAACACGAACGGCCTCCATTCCCAGACCTGGCACAAGTATCAGTGTCATGCTTTATGCAGTTCAAAAATTACGGCGAATCTTACAAAGAGAGCTTTTATATTCTTCTAAGATCATCGCCTGGTGATGTGGTACGTACTCGGATTGTTTAGAACTCATTAAATGACAGGCTGCAAGTATTTTCTGGAATATAATATGACCAYCTGGTACTGTGGTACGTGCTCATTATAAMGACAGCGTTCAAAAGGAGAACGTGCAGTTGTACRCATTTTCTGGAATATAAAMTCATCACCTGGTACTGTGGTACCAACAACACGCACCAACTAATTAAGCCGGTCTTCCTGTGGTTTCTATTGATGCTTTGTCGGAAGGCTTATCCCAGACACCATCCCTTTGTGTCGTCGTCTGGCAACGCCACCTTTGTCGTCTGTTTTGTTTGGTCCGTGTTGTTTTGGCCTCACAAAGAGTATTTAGTGAGTTTACCGAGTGTTGTCTCGCGCAAATCATGTGAATTGTTCACGTGGACACTTCAAAAAGACATGAAATTATGAAATTAGACACGTGAGGCGACTGAGGAAAACATGAAAATTTACGAAGTAAACCTTAAAATTGCTGTGGAAATCACTTCTGTGTCCAACGGTTGTGCCTTTTCGTACGCATTACTGACGTTTCTTGGCCAAAGTCCAAGTCCGATCAGAAAGTTTACTAGTAAACGTTCTTTTTTGTTTTATTGCAGTATACAATCTATCGTTTAATCACGAAATGTTTTCAAAACATCGACGCAGATCAAACTCGTCTAAAGATCGTAGTCTCTTCTGAAAAAGGAGCTGTTTACAAAAGTTTTCCGTTTGGACAGGCCAATAGTAGGACACCTTGGCTCGTTACATAAGAACCGAAACGGGTACATACCCATAAAAACGTGACAAGGTGCTGATTTATATTCCGATTTATATTACTGTTCCTTTACAACTTATTTCTGTTTTAGAACATTATTACTTGTAAGATTWAAAGTTAATATTTTGTTTTTATTTAAAATCTATAAAAACTGAATAAAAGAAGAAAAAGTCCATCTGGTGTAGTTTTTTTTCCTGCGTCGCGGGTTTTCCACCCACATCATTCGTAAAACGTGAGTCTGAAAGTCATGATAAACAAAATCTGCACGGTMATCAAAACATCGAGATATAGTCCTTTGAAAAAACAGTTCTTGAAATAAAACTATAAAAGTGAGCTTGTTTTGGTTCAGTGCCCTGTACGATCTAGTACGAGACGCTGTAAATATATATTTTTTTAATTCATAAAACCTTCTTACAATCTTGAATGTCATCAAACGTATCAAATGTACTGTTCCATTGCAAGTAAAATACAGAAGTTTGTTCTACYAATGCATGTTAGTTTACTAAGACAAGTACGCTTCTTTGGGACATTCTCGGCACTATGGCAACTCGTCAAGGCAGCTGCTATCAGCTTTKCGCTCTTTTCATTATTTTTCATATGCATCTTTCAGATCATAATCACAGATTTTATACTGAATTGCTTTCATATCTTTGGCGATCTATAACAATCCCAAAAAAAGCTACATATCTCTAGGAATGGCCAATGTCCGATTCATTACATTCATGTCTTTGGTGAAAGTAGAATTGAGCTAATGCAGGTTTCTGGTGGAAGAGGCAATAAAATCTTCTTAATCAGTAATTTTGATGACATCTGCCAGGGTTTACAACAACAAAAGTCTAACACATATTTTTAAGTCATGAATATTTATTGTTGTTTTTCATATTTTCAGCAAAAATGTTTGTTAATAAATATATTTGATTTGTATATTCACAAGCAGCAAATGGGGCATTATTTACAGGCAAATTGATTTGTAAAACATGAAAAATAACATTGAATTTTTTTAATAATTTAACCCTAGTTCCAGAGTTTTGTCTGTGAAATCATATTTACCTATGCTACTATAAAACAATGTGTGCAATTTCAAAAGCTTTCTTTTTATAAATATATAAATCTCTGGAAAATTACAACCCAAACCGTCAAACTAAGTTTGTTGATGGATTTAAAAAATCAATTTCTAATAATAATTTAAAAAGACAAACACAAATTTTCCATAAATAATAGTGTAGAACTAAAAAAAAAGAGAAAAGAAAATTCGTAAAAAATCCTAGTTGTAAAAAAGGACTAGGTTTGTACTACAAATAGCACAAGCCAAAAGGACCAGTTATTGCATTGTTCATTTTACAGGAAAAACCTAAATTAAGTTGATAGTCTTTACCAAGAAATGTCTCCATTACAACTTTTGATATCCCAGCTTCCTGCTGGGACATTCCATTTTTTGGATCCTCTTTCTCAGAATTTTTATCGCTTGCCTCATTGTCCWTGCTTTGTTCATTGAGAAGAGTTTCCTTGCTTGAACAATTTTGGCCTGAATCCTGTCTCTCAAGATCAAGACTGCTTCCAAAGTCATCAAGAACACTGTCTTTGGAAGAACTACTGTTTACAAGTGAGTCGTGCTTTTCGGAGTGAAAACCACTCTCAGTCTTTTCATCATTGATACTTTCACCAGGAGATATGGACTTTTTGACTTGGTCTTGCCTGTCCAGGAAGCAGCTACCAGTATATATCACACTGAAAATATTATCATTTGAAGATTCACAGATCTGGTCAGAGTCTTGGAGCTCTGGGTGGAATTTAAAYGAGCTAATATTRATATCRGACGCAGAGTCACTTATTGAGCGGTTGCAGGAGGATATTGGTTCCTCTTCGCTGTTCATAATGTCTTTTAAAGAGAGGATATCATTTTCTGGATAGAAGTCATCCTTGCTGTTATCACTCAGCAAGACGGGGGAGTCCTTGGTGTCCTCGCAAGAGACACACTCATTGAATAGCATATCCTTGAGGATCTCCTCGCACATRTCATCAACYTCATATTCAATGTTCAAGGGCGATAATGAGACAGGCTCGTCAGAAGGGTAGGAGTATTCTTGCAAGTAAGGGTGTGCTAGTGCTTCTTCTGCTGTTATRCGGTTCTTAGGGGAAAACTTCAGCATTTTTTCAAGTAAGTCTAGACCTGGAACATAACAAGAAAAATATAATTWAGATTTTAATTATAGAAAAATTCAMATTWATTYTAAATTCCTATCTTCCAATTCTATTTATGCCTAATAGCTATATATACTTTGTTGGACTCTAAATTTATCTTTATTAAAAACTAATAGTTCTATTTCTAACAATCTAAATGGATTATACAAAGTGCAGTGAATAATTAAAACGATTTCAGTACAAGCTTTGAATATTCATAAAAAGTAACACATTAAACTTGCGCCAATCAACACCAGACAAACCAAAACCAAAACAAAGTTATTTCTAATATGAAATGAAAAGGAAAAAGAAATTCTACATATAAAAATAACTTAAAAACAAAACTCGAATCAAGACTCGATCAACTTTTTAAACAATAGCAAGAAAAAAAATAGATTCTCCGTCTTATATCAACCTTTGCACATCGCGTCATAGCGTTTAATTATTAACATGCGTGGGACTCGTGCTATTTTTATTTGCGGAAAAAATTGCTGCTAGTAAAGAAAAGCTTATATTCTAATGCACAAATAATCTAAATATTCTTASTTTTGGAAAATATGGTTTCCTTGAATCAATTGAAATATTAAATACAGGAAAACAAATCCAAATTACAATGAATGTGAAAAATTTCTTTAATGAATGTCAAGGTCTGCCAGTGTTTACATAGGTATGACCGCTCGCGTCACGCTGCTCAAAATCTATCAAAAGAAACTTCGAGCATTTTCGTTGGATTCTACATGTAGTTACATTAGTACGTAGATATTTCGAACTAGAAGTTTTTACGGGATAAACGTTTGTTGATGAATAAGAAGTAGTGTAAAATTTATAAGCGACCTTTGTAACTTTGCGCAGATCCGTTGCGCTGACGATTGTATAAACAAAACAAAATTACATCCCATAACGGCCAGTGTCAAAGCGAAAGCAAAAAAATTCCGAAAAGGTCAAATCCCCTACAATATCTAGGAGAACAACAATTCCGGGAAAACCCAGCRTTTTAACAAACCATTGATGGAAAGTAAAACAACACGAGCAGATGCAATGTCTATAAATAGCTCTTTTTTCACAAAGATCTCCTTTGTGACCTTCAAAATTCTGCTCACAAAAGCAGTCGACAAAGAAACTGTTCTTATCTTTCTGTGGATCTCCTGAGCAAACTACAAAATTCTTTTCTTTCAAAAATGTTAAATTTGTAACTTTCAAGGCTCTTTTCGCTATATTCGATGACAGGCGTTGGTGAGAAATTCCAAAAATGTCCTTCAGYGCTACCGCGATGATATGCTAATTTCGCCCCTTGCCTCACGCAAGGAATTTAAAATTCAAAATCATTATGTACTGTAGCTTTCAACGAGGAAAATTTCCTGATGGAAATGACGAACGTCTAAGTCGTGACGTACACTACTTCCTACTACGACCAATACTCTAACGATGAGGAAATTTAAGAAATTTCCCATACATTTCCTTAGTGAGTTACGTCACAGGCGCTAGCCGGTGAGCTGCCCACTCTTCTATTTACTACGTACWGAGAATGATTATCACAATTCAACGCACCTTTAGAATCCAGTCCAGGAAACTTGCTTGCTAGAGAAGAGTTAGGATTTTCAGATAATGACTTRATAAGTTCATCAGGCACCTCAGTGGCTATTCTTGTCTCTTCTGCAGGTCCTACACTGTCTAGAATCAGTTGAAGTTGTTCGAGATCGTGTCGGCCCTCAAAYAAGGGTTTGCCCAGCAGCATCTCGGCAAAAACACAACCAACTCCCCACATATCAACAGCATTGCTGTAACTCTGTGGACTTAGTATWACCTCAGGTGCTTTGTACCATAATGTTGAAGGGCAATGTGTAAGATAGCCAAGATGWTCATAGTCCGGGTCGACAACACGGGTTTGCCCAAAGTCACCTATCTTCAATAGCAAAGTTTCTGGGTCCACTAAAATATTACTAGGCTTAATATCTCTATGAATTACATTTGAAGAATGCACGTATTTGAGTCCACGCAGTAATTGATACAACAATAGTTTCACATAGTCCTCAGATAGCGTTCCATTGCTTTGTAGTATTGTATGTAAGTCAGCCTCGACGAGTTCCTGTACCAGGTAGATATAACTTAGCTCTTTAGCATTTTCGGGTATWAAACTCTGTAAAGACTGCCCATCAGGACCTATCACCTTTTCTAATAGAACTATATTTTCATGTTGTAGTCTCTTATATACAGTAACTTGTCGTAGAGCAGTCTTACAACCAAGTTGGTCRTGTAGGATGACTCTCTTTAGAGCGACTCGCTTGTCCGTCTTTGTATCTATAGCCGAGTACACCGCACCACTGCCACCAGTGCCAATAACCTTAAGATTAGTAAAATGTGGTCCTAGAATTTCTTGGCTGCTTTGATCAGACAGTGAAGAAGACATTTTWAAAGTCTTCAGCGGGTTTWGRTGAGTAATTCACCAACAACACTCCCTTGTCTGTACTCTCCCGCCCTTCGTGGCTCTTTCTTTACCGGCTGATGAATCGATTTGAATTTTTTCCGAGGAAAACCTCGATTTGAAATGTCATTTCATTGCGTCAACAATGGAAACTGCCTTCTGATTGGTTAATTGTCGATGAGTCATTATAACGCGCGCGTTCATTGGTGCACGCACAGTGGCATTGGTTGGATTATCTCAGGTGACCTTCATGTGGAATTACATAAGTCATGTATGTTTTCTGTTTCGCAACTAACGGTCGCTATAGATATATGATAATCAAGGGAAAAATCCGAGGGGTTTTTTATCAACAAAGTAGAAAAACTAACAACATTAGTACAGAATATCAAAAGAGCTATTAATCGTTAATAAGTCCAACTTCGATTTCTTTTATATAGATGGCTATATACATTTCCGTGAACATAGGCGTACAGTCTATAGATAAGTTTCCCAATTGGCTGGCGACCGCACGGAATCACCATTCAACAACTTTACAAAGTTACATGCAAAACTGTGAGGCAAAGCTTAGGATAGCAATGCTTATGAAATCTAATTTAGCCAAATTTTAAATTACGTAATATCTTCAGAATGCTCAAAACAAGTTTAACGAGCTGATTGAAACGTTCGTATTTCAGACATTGCCGGTATGCCGTGCCTGTCTTCGGCCTGTGGGGCCTTTTACATCTCTGAAAAGTCGTACATAATTGAAACGTTTTTAAAAGTATTCTTTTTAAGATGTGTGCGCGCACTCGAAATACAGTATTATTTATATAATTAAATTTCGTTTAGGAAAGATGTTTAATCTAAATTTGGTAAAGTTTAAAAAGAAGTCTAGTCCAAGTCACGGAAATGCCCGTAGGGGTTTTTTCCCCTCAGTTATGTCACAATCTCGCAGGTTCGCATCTTGGCCTTGAAAAATCAATGAAGTATACAAYACGTTTAAAATATAAATTTTACATAAAAAAGTTTTAGTTACATAATATTCACAACAATATTGGATTGGACTTTAGTCAGAGTTTCCGTGACTGAAACGGTTTGCGTGACAACTCTATCACATACGTGTCATAGTGCTACAAAATGCCGAATAGAATCATTTCTGGATTGTCGGAAGAAGTTGAATTTGAAGCCAAAAGAAACTGGATATTCGGAAATACCAGAAATTACGTCCGTATCTGAAGGGAATACAGCCAGATATGAATGACAAAGTTTCGTCTGAAGTACACTATGAATTGATTCTCGAAGTTTCAAAGTCACGTGTACCCCTATTAATTCTTAATTATAAAAAATCCCAAATTAATCGATCAGTCATTTTAAYACAGATATTTTTGTGGTTCATTCATTTTTAAATTGTGACAAGAACGTGTGCCTTGCCTAAAAGCGAATTCGGAACGTGAGAGGCTAYGAAACGTGTCACCAACCCCGCGAAGCAGATATTAAACTCATTTCCATTCATTACGCCCCTCGAATTTKGAAAACATGTGAACTGATGTTTATTTTTTTCAAAACTCGAGACAATAGCTTGTTTATGTGAAATTCTAACCATTTACTAACCATGGAATTTTACAATTTAATTCTGGTGCAACTATGGTGATTTTGAAGAACAAGAAATATTCATATCTGGTCTGTAAAASAAAGCCCACTCAATACTTATGCATCAACACGTTTAAGTAGAACTAGAGACAAATTATATTTTGTGCGAAAAAACTGCGGGTGTCCAAAGCCGTAGTGGCTACAACATATTGGTGAATCCCTGCAACAACGTGATTTTTCGCGCTCGTGAAAAGAAAAAAAGAAGAAAAAAAAAGATCAAAGATTTTTGCCGATGTTTGCTTTTGTAATTTAGTAGGTTAGGTTTCCTGGTTTTAAGAGTGTGGGATGTGAACATCAAGTCTGACAGGCTATAATGAGCTTGATATCAAAACGGCGGCGTCGYACAGCAATTTCACCAACTTGAGAGCCCTAGGGGAAGGAAAAACTCCTATCTCTCCTCGCTCACTCCCATAATAATAGGCGCGAAGAACTAGCGACAGAAAATTTTCACCTCTTTTGGGTTTCCGAGGGAAATGTAGAGTCAAAAGGCTAACGCTGAAAACATCTTTTGTCTAGCCGGAACAACATAAGTGAAAAAGGCCAGTCAAGGAACCCAACGTGACATACCAAGCTCGTGAAAGGTTCGGTCCATAAATCGGTCCATAAGTCTGAAAAATGAGATTAAWGAGAGCAGCTGAAAAACTGGACTACTTTACATTTATTTTCTTTTTGTATTTCCAGTAGCRCTTTTGTGTCCTTTCTTTTTAATATGGTAATATTATTCCTTGGTACAGTACTTCTCAAAAATAATAAAAGCATAAAAAAAATACGAAAAAAAATTATTGAATTATCAATTTTGATTTGTGGCAGATTCGGCATCGATCGAAAGTCTTTTAAAAACCCTGGATTTGCAGGATGGAATAAGATGGGCATTCTTAATACAGAGATAACCACATATATTACTGAAAATATGAAGTTGATTTTTTTTTTCACAGAACCATCGGAAAGCAATAATCCCCAGTAAGAGTACCCTACTGTGAAGCTGAAAATGGGGGTCAACGAAAAGCGCTTACAAAAAAATTTTGAGTAGTTTCCCCTGCGAACAAATTCCATTTCTCTGCGGRATTTGTGTCGGACTTCACTTAGGGAAAAAGGAATTTGATTAAGTTTCTCTGTTTTTAATCGCCGCGTGTTGTTATTGCTGCAAGTGAACGACATTACTGTCTGACCGCATTTCACAAGTTATTCAACCCTCATTCAACCACCATGGAGACTCATTGGCCTGACTGATAGTTCTTAATTTAGCAAGAGTTATTGACCTTCCCCTTGGAAGGCCCCCGGCTTCAATCCAGAACAATCACTTTATCAAAATTCATCACAATGTAAACGCATGATCTTGACATCATCAAAATTTACCAAAAAAATGTCAATACGCTATCTATCAGCTGTCAGCCATCTTGTTTAGGAGTCGCTGTCATRTGCTTTAGGAATGGTCGGTTACCTTGAGGTGGTCAATGGGAACGATACGGAACCCCTCGTGGACACGCAGCGAATTCCATTTCCTATCGAGTCTTGTGCCGGCTCTTTCTATGTGACGTAATCGACATTTTATCCTCTTTTTTAACAATACWGAACTATACCTTTTCCTTGTTGCWTTGAGGCGTTATCTCCGTTAAGGAAAYACAAGCAATTCATTGTAATATTGTTCGCGTCTTCTGTTTCCTCTTTTGAAGTGTTTTATCAGATTTTATTTTGCGTGTGGCATATTCAACAATTCCACCCTTTCTCGGCCTTCAGTAACCTCTATTTCTCCTGATGTGCTCATTTTGCTCGACTTTATCATTAACAGGAAATTCAAGAAATTCGTTGTAATTTATCGCTCGCAGTGTTTTTTTCCTTTTATCAGATTTTTGAGTGTAACAAATGATGTTAAAACCTTTTCCTTCATAAAAACCTTCATTTCACTTGTCTCTTTCGCCAAAGGGTATCTTTCCTTTACTTGTACTTTATCTCAAAACAGGAAATACATCAAATTCACCGTAATATATAATTCCCAGCTGGCTATTGAATATATTTTTTTTTATTTTTCAGTTTTTTCTCAATCTCCAGTTTGGCCTCGCTTAAGATTACAGTCGTCAGCTTTTATYTATGATGTCAAAGCTTTTCGAGCTTAATGGAAATGTAAGAAAAAAWTTTATATCAAGAGGAATTATCACTTCACTAATACAATAAGATTTATTTAATGACGAAGGTTCACACGGATTTTATACGTCTGAACAATCAATAAAACTGACAAGCTACGTCATGACTGACTGAATACAATCRCAAAGCCACTAAGTCAGCATGTATTGCGTCAGAATCGGTTGTTGACAAGGATTACAGCTTATCCACGAGTTTATCTTATCCACGAGTTTAGYTTGTCTGCCATTGACCTTACAGTATGCTCAATGTTGCGTTACATTCCGATCGAGACTCTTGTTCACGGACTGTCACACAATCCAGCGTTGTCATTGTGTCTTTCAACAATTTTTTAAATATAAAAACATTAAAATACAAAWACACAAATCAGAGCATAAGTAATCGTTCAGTAAGAAAATGATTTTYCCTAGACTACTTTCCTAAGATTATGAACTAATCCTAAGGCTAAYCACAGACCGKCGAATGAAGWCTRWGAGTACAAAGTCCTTGTACATGTGACCTTTTGTAAGTACACGAGAATTGAGCATGGTTTCAAGGTCCAGTATTYTTGTCCTTCATGACTTGACAGAAATTACACCTGTACACGTGACTTCTGATCATATCCTTTTGATTTTTTAGGGCTACCGGATATTATGACCTCCCGGATATTTGACACCGCGACATTACGGACACCCCGATATCATGCTCAACACCCATAAATGTTGACTTAATACCCCTCCAAASAAGAAGTTACTRAAAGTTTTAACTTCCTTCGCAGAGCGGGACACTTGCTATAGCGGCCCTCTGACAATGGGTCCGAATGCTTTCGTTACGTAACGATGACAGATCGATGTGTTCACTCATGAATGRCAAATGCTACCGAAKAATMAAAGCATTTTTGATTAGATGCCAGGAATTTCAGAAATGCTCTGTCGTTCAACTGAATGGTTGAATCTAAAGTGCGTCAATGGTATAGTACGAGTAGCTTTTGAACAATTTGCTCAAAAAGCGCCGCCACTTGGTTAGCATGGGTACATCTGTTTCAAACCATCACCACCCTCTACACCGTCTACCATTGACTCATGTTTAAAGTTAAAAATTTCAGCTTTGTTTTGCTTTGTACGGCCAATATGAATTAAAGCTTTAAACAAATTTGTCTAGAATTATTTGTGGGGGGTGTGCCGCTGGGACCTCAAAACCCTGACCCTGTTCCACAGTGAAATCGCTGAAAACTATACCCTGTTCCAGAGTTAAATCACTGAAAACGATAACCTGTTTCAGAGTAAAACCA